TAAAAGAAACAAATCCTAGGATTCACAAAACCTCCGGTCTGGCGCTCAAAACAGCCTCCTCAGAGAAAAAAATCTACACTCCAATTCACTCTGCTTCTGATTCAGACAAGGATTTGAGCGTAGATCCTATAATACCGTGAAGGTTATCATCACTGCCAGGATAGAGAATCAGTGATTATTTCAAGTCCCGAAATAAAGCAGAGCCCTCCTTGAGATTGCCCTCCTTGAAATAGGCTTCCTAGTACTAGGAGTATGATTTCAGGCAAATTCCAGAGTTTCATTACCTGGAGAAGGGCATATCATGCTACATGGATGTCTTAGCAACAGGTTTATTATATAAGAAGCATGAGCACAGTTTTAATTTATTTTTTTCTTTCCTGTGGCTGAAACTATTTGCATATTTTTTCTGAATTCACTAATAATTCATAAAAACTGTGATAGAGCACTTTAATGAATAAATGATTTATTGAAAAAGCCTAGCTTCACTGAGAGCTGCTGATTCCACATCCAACTTTCATTGCCCCAGCCCTTAATTAGGAACAGCTTTTGTTTGTGGAAGATGTGATTCCAGTTTCTTCACTAATTTTCCTCCAAAAAAGACTGGGGGCGGGGAGGGGAAGCCTTGGAAAAGAGATTTCCAGATATACCCTATCTACATGACAGCATCAGCCTGGGTCTGCGCACACGCGTGGGAGGAGGTGTGAATGCGGTGAGCGACGGGGCATGCTGTTCTGCTGCGGTACGTGTGCGGCAGTCAGGTCGGCGCTTCCCCTAGAGAAACCCAGAGGCAGCTGAACTGCCAGGAAACAGATGAAATCAGAACAGCCATTAGCACAGCATGCATAAACATGCTTAAGCTAAAAAACACTGAAGAAACAAAACTAAATCAAGCTGATGGGCAGATAGGTTGGTCAAATGCATATGCTACAGAAACCAAGACAAAAACAGTAAGAAGAATACCCAGGCTGTTGGCAACAGGGGGCGGGGGGGGGATGTAAGAAATAACTGTATTGGGAAAGGTTTCAAATTCATTACAGTATAGATTTTTTTGAACTAGCACTGACAGAGCAAGCACAGTGGTCAGAAGCAATATTACCTCTACTAATGGGAAAGAAGGTAAATTAACTAAGGCAGAACATGATGCAGACGATGCATATTGCTTCATACGTTTGGCCTGAAGTAGTTAGTACTACTCTTGAGTATCATTACAAAGACAGTGTGGTGCCTTGTAGAGCTACCCTTTAAATGGGTAAGCAATTCTGGGGGAAAAAATGCAATTATGGAGGAGACTTTCAATCAAGAGGAGGATGTTTACTTGCTGACTTCAACAATGCCAAAGATTCTCTGCCACACATAGCAGAAGTGGGATATTAGGTGTTCAATAACCAACACAACAGTTTAGATGTTACAGTAATCTGATTGCAGATAGATAATGAAAATAGCTGCAATATAATATCAGCAAATATTTCTTCTAGGCTGGAAAAATGACAGCAAGAATTTGTGTCAAACATTGGAAACCATTTGGGTACAGCGAAGGTGAATGAAAATCCCTTCAGTGACACAGGATATGTGTTGGAGTTAGTAATTACAATCATGCAAACTGGCTTTCTAGTTGTCTTCCAAATTTTTGCCTCTTAGTGTTTGTGTTCCTTCATTCAAGTGTCATACAAGCTGCTGTGGTCACTGGTATCTCTGCAGATGATTGTTGTGGTGGTGTTTTTCATTTAAAATGTTGAAGAAGAAAGTGGTAGGAAACTTCTGAATATGGAGAAAGAAACAGAAAATGCCAGAGAAGAGTATGGAGCAGGGAGGTTCATGCATATGGCTGAATTTTTAACTATGCTGGCAACATCTATAGAGGACTTTTCTTCCTGCAGAGCCAGCTGCGTTACAAAAACACACAGTCTTTTGATAGATCCAGCATCCAGCCTCCAATCAAGCTGGCAGATGTGCCAGAAACGTCTGGCTATTTCTCAGTTCTTGAGCCTCTCACTTTGCTTTAATGCTTTTCTTTATAGAGCAACTGTCTGTACTCTGGGCTGAGGTGATAGCACATCTGTGTTAACGGCCATAATTTCAAAATTAACTCATACGTAATACGCATTTCTGGCAAAGGACTAGGTGTTTGTGGTTTGGTTAGTGATTGACCACAACTGCAGTGTGCTTAAGGTGACCTGCTTTGTTCTCAACTTCTCATACTTGTAAATGTCTTTGTTTCTGTACATGATATTCCATTCAAAACTGTTTGCGATGTGTTCTGACAATTAAGTGAAACAAATGTTGGCTTTATGAAGGCAGCTGTGGGTTCAGACCGGACAGCTGAGAGGTCTGTTCCTCCCTCCTTGCAGTGGAAGAGACTGCAATTTTTTCTGAACCAGGAAATATCAGTGGGGAGTCTTAGACAAATCTTGGATTAGGAAGACTTAACATCAGACTTTCAAGCACAGTGATGCTTTTTACATTGTTTTAGGGACCCTCTTTATAGGGAAAAGGACACTGTGTTTTACATTTTCCTTTATAGTCTTCTGGCATAATGAATGGATTGAATGAGGTGTGGCTGAAAGCCTACATTGTTTAGTTCCACACAGTAATGCAATTTAGGCCTGCTATTGTAATCTGAGGGGAAATTTCACCAACTTTCCCAGAATGTTTAAGAACATTAAGACTATTGCAAATACAGACATGCTTGCAGCAAAGCAGCTCAAACCCCAACCGGGGTTGATTTCTCTTGTGAAGGTCACTGCAGTAACACAACTATTTTTCATTCTACTTCATACTGCTGATTCTGGGAGAGGGAATCAAGATGGGACAAATTAGCCTAAATGAGGATACTTAGGATTTTCTCTTTATTAAACAGTTCCCAGATGTGGAGTCAGCGGGTTGCATCAAAAGTGTAGAACACAGAGCCCTTGGCAGAAGCAGCTCTTCAGCCTGATAAAAGTTTGTCCAAGGATGTATCATGAATTTTTGTCTTCACTCAGATTAACTAGGATTTGACAGGGGCAAGTCTTGAGCATCAATCTGCATGTGTCCAAAGATTGTTCCGTAAGACAGTACTGACCTTTGAAGAACTAATTTATAAGGCTTTCCACCCTACAGTGGATTGGAAAAATCCATTAGCATCAGGCCAGCTGGTGGAAAATAACTGCTAAAAGTGATTTCATCAGATTATGTGCCCCCGATTTAATCACATAATGTCCCTATCAAGAAAATGAAGTACCTTGATGCTCCAGTGTCCCTATATGATTTTACATATCATCCCTTCTCATACATAAGCTTGACATCTCTTTGGGGAAGGATTAGTCTTTTCTGTTTTAATACATATATAGTGCCTAAAAAGGTCATATTTTTTGGCTGGAATTTCAAGATGCTTTGTTGTACAGTTAGTTAGAACTGTAAATAATGTTAATAATATGCATATATGCTGTGGATATTCACTTTGGAGCACACATATTTGTTCTTTGTTCAAAGTAGAAATTAATTTCCGAGTACAAACACGTAATTATTGTTATAATTTAATTAGTAGTATTGTCACTTTTTTTTTTCAAAAAAATAAATTACTATGCTATTTTTGAGTAAAGAACATAGGTAAACATGCATACATATTGTACAGAATTTTAAAATCTGTATTTTTTCATATAGGGTGAACACAGGGGTACATAAAATATTTTGCTGGAAGGGCAGGAGTTTCTCAGCAATCACATAAAAAGAACTGCAAAAATAAATGTTTTTGTCATAGGATTTCTGAATGGGTTATTTCTATGTGGGGTTTCTATAGTGGGTGGTTTCCACAAGTGCCCTGGAGCAGAATAAGGCCTGATTTTCAGATAAAAAGAGATTGAATGTTAGAAATTGCAGTTCTCAACCCTTTAAAAATCTACTTTTAAGAAAATGCTTCATCTTCAAAGAAAAAATTATACCACATGCATAGTCTTTAAATGCTTGTTACTGAAGCCAGTCTTAAAATGTTAGAAATAGATGCAAGCTATCAAAGAGCAACTAATTGCTTCTATCTATAAATACAAGAAGACTAAAATGATATGACTGATGGATAGTCTGTTCTGCTGGCTATCAGAAATAAAAATGTCATCCTCCCAGTGAATAGTTGAGTCTAATATTCAAATTGTGTATTGAAATCCCAATATTATCTTATCAAAATAGAAAAAAAAAAACCAACCAGATTTCATAAAAATATGTCTACTGATATCTCCCTTGTTAGTGAATTGTGAATGTGCTGTATTCTAAATACCTGGACTTCTCTAAAATCCAGTGTTGTTATGTGCGTGTATATGAGTCAGCAGATAGCTAAATACTGCTCTGAGTTGATTGCATTTGCTTAAACTGATACAATTCCTATGCAAATATTTGGCTATTTAGGTAAATAATTAGGAGGGGATGTATTTCCTAATTCCTTAATTTTGCCTTTATCACCATTATATTAACTAGCCATTCCAATTTTTGTGAAGTACGTAGTCTGTGAAATATGTAATCATTACTGTTCTTGGTTTTATCTCTACGGGAACTAAAATAAACCAAATATTCGATGACTATCCCAAAGCTACAGAAAGAAATGGTGTCAAAACTAGAAATGGAATACTGTAGAATGGAACAGCAGAAAATTGGCACTTTGATAGACCAAGATGTCATCTTATGTTCCCTCGGCCCTGAATTTGAGTTGGATCAGTGTATTCCAATTCTGAAATCATAGACTGAATGAATCCATTCAACAATATATATTCTGTATATTGCTTTGGACTCTGAGCCTCAAATACTTCATGCCTTAAAAGTGTCAGTTTTCAAAGGATGCCAGCAATTTATGAGTTATTTACATGTTAAGTGGTTGTTCACCATTAGTCACTATCTTAAAAAAGACAGTGGCAGTTCTGATAACTAGTAGTCATGCAACTCATGATTTTTCTAGCATATATATTTAGCCAAGTGCACTCAAATTCATTATGTTAGTTACTATGTAACAAAATAAAGAAATAAGATCTTTCTGTAGCAATGATGTTAACAGAATAGACATAGTAGATTTTGACAAGCAAGATGGAGTAGACAAGAATTTGCTTTGGAATACTTGGGATCTTACATAGATGATTTTCAATATATTCGCATTAGGAATTCTCAGGTAAAGTGTTAAGCAAGTTTCATGTCCGTCCAAAATTTCTTCTGAAAGAAGAACAATCATTTCAGCTGTATAAAAGATGCAAGCAAAGAAAAAATTAAAGTCAAAATAAAGCTGTTACTTCTTGATTTATTTTAGAACAAGTTTCATTCCAGCAAAACTTGTATCTTAGCACTCTCACAGCACAAGAGTGACACTGCGATTTCTTTATATGACAACAGCTTGAAGTAGTCGGAAACATATCATGATGTCCAATGGGATTGGAGGTTGAATCTCATTTCCATCCAGGCGAAGGTATCGGAGGCGAGGGATATTGCCATAAAAACCATAGTCTTCTGCTATGGCAATTGAGACTGGGCATATTTGAGTACCATTGACACCTGAAAATGTGGATCAACATGTTAGGTAATTCCCATGGGAAAGGTTCAGAAAGATAAAATTCATTTATAAAACAAATAAAACAGGCTTCCACTGATATTTGTATGGGAGACACTTGCTCCTATCAGAGTTGGAAAATGCCAAATTAACAGTTAACTGCTGTTTTGATCAAGCAAAGAAGCATCTTAACATAATGTAATCGAGATCAGTGAATCACATATTTAATGTGCTGCAATTATGAATAAAGGCCACTAGATGTATAATTTTACCTCGGACAGAGAGCAAACTAATTTAGACAACTGCTGGGTAACTATTCATTGAGAAATAGCTCTGCCCTCAGAGAGAGAAGAACAAGGTTAATGATGAAAGATTTTGAACATCTTACTGCAATGACAGTACATTCATTTTAGCTGATAATATTCCCCAATGAAGATCTTGCATTCAAAATGATAACAGTATTGAATTAGAGGAGCTTTTTGTATAGTGTCTGTGACTTTTAACACCTGTACTTTCCTGTTCTCTCAAATTCTTCAGTACAGTTGGTTTTAATTGCAAGAATATAATTTGTGCAATGGCATATTTTTCTTCCTAATTTGAACAAGTCCTTAAAATTCTTTATAAATCACACATAACTTGTTTCAGTTCAGATAAAATTTGAAACTATGACTTAAATCATTACCCATTTCATAAGAGTTTAATAGATTGGATTCTTTGCATTTTCTCCCCTAAATTACCTCTGCATTGTCACTTGGTTAAAATGCTTTTCGTATTTTGTCTTCAGTTGTTGAATAGTGAGGCTGCCGCTGCCCTATTTCAGCCTCATGATGGCCTTATTCTAGAAAACACTGAAGTGGTGTTTGTTTATCAAAGATGTCAAATTCCTTTGATCAAATTATGGTATTTAGTGATTGGTCTGACTGCTTGAGGATCTTGTTGGCCCCAACCCCACCTGCAAAAGGGGTTGAATGGAGAATGTGTGTGTAACAGATTTTTTTGAGCACAGTTTTTTTAGCAGCCCAGAAAAAGGAAAAGAAAAGCTTTCTACCAAAATTTTTCTCCCCTTATATTTAGCAAAGATAATATGCACACTTCTTTTGATTACAATCCCCCAAATTGGTTAAATGCTATGATGAAAGAAAACCCATGATTTTTTTTTTTCCAAAAGAAAAAAACCCACCCTATTTTGAAAAACTACCCAGATGTTTGCAATGTCTTGGAAATGGACTTTATTTTTGTCATGGAAACTAGATGAATACATGCAGTTGGCCAAGGCCTAAAACTTTTATCATATCCATGATATCAAAATGTCTTTGCCTATGTTGTGAAATTTGATTAACGTTTGTAAAGCATTTTATATTCCTGGAAGAAACAAGCTACAACTTACTTTTATGTGTGAAGCTGCGAAGCAGGAAGCTTTAGAGTGAGGTTTCATTATGAAAGCAGTTATTAAAAGTTTTACAAGTGAATCAACACTATGTAGCAGAAAATATCTGCTTTTTCAGGTCAGCACTACTGTCCTTAGGATACAAGACAGCTTCAAGTGTGTTCTAAATCTCTGTGTTCTCTGACCTAGAAAATATCCCACTGCACTAGTTTTCACTGGGCTGATTACTCCAACCTTAAAGTGAGGCAGCAGTTATCTAACCACAGGCCACCTATGAAGAAGTTATTTCCTGATGATGTGTGGTATGAAGTGGTTTGGTTTTTTATTGTTCTCTTCCCATGAACAATAAATCCTACCCAAACTGTCAGGGGAGTAAAAGCCTCTCTCTCTCCTCTTCTCTTGCAATCCTGTTCATGGGTATATTGCTGAATTTTGCTTAAGCAGGAGGGACAGGGCAATCCATCTACATAGGTACAATTCACCCTACCTAAACTGATCCATGTGGACGGTTAAGTGTCAGTCTAAGTAAACCATTCAGACTTTGTTTATAAACTCTGGAAAGAGATGAACACTTCCAAAAGATCATTCACAGTTCCTTAAGATGGGAAGATTTTCCCTTTGCAATTGTTTATCTCTTTCCATTAATTGAGTAGGTGATCTGTATGATTAACCCAAACTAGATTCAAAAATGTAGGATGGTTAATTCAAATAAGATTAATTCCATCTATTGTCAACAGTATTGTTAAATGGTGTAATATTTAAAAATAAGACTCTGGAGTTGCTGTAGGGGAAAACTGCAGAAGAGGTTCTCATTAATGGCTAATACTGTATGTCTGCTGAAGAACTGCAGAAGATCCTGAGGTTTTTTCCAGTAAAACTTATAATTTAGGAACATTCAGAAAGTAAGTTGATCTAGAAGATAGATGTGTTCTGACATACATGAGTACGAGGGTATTTCTGTTCTATTCTTGTAACCTCTAGCTGCATTCACTGTAGTCCAACTCCAATAGTTGGACTCCCTTTCTTCTTTTCACATAATATTTAACTGAAGCAGCCATGGATCAGACTGGAAATCTGCACCTTTCTAGGCTCTCCCAGCAAGGAAGCCAGTACCAGCTATAGCGTGGGGTTTGACAATAAGTCAGGATCTGTAACTTCAATCATTTCTTTCCCAATATCCTGTAATGGATTCTGATAGAGTGGCATTGCTACTTGGCCCCAGGACTTCTCCCTTTCTCTACACGCGGGATAATATTAGCTCAGAGGAGCTATCCCAATCTCCTGGTGTTCCTCTCGGGGAACGTACCATTCACTCCCTTTCATCGCTCCTTTGATAGCACTGTAATACCACCTGCTTACCCTTGCTCACTCGCTACATCATCGTTTCATGCCTTCTCCTCTTTTTGCTTCCATCATTTGACATCTCCCCAGAGTCTCGCATGTGTATCTCATAAATAAATATGTAAACGTGCATGTTTAAAATGCCATGGAACAAGTGTGGTGCATATCTGTTGTAGCCATAATTAGTTTTGGGTTTATGTTGACTTTGCTTCCAACTTTCAAGTACTTTTTTTCCTCTGTGCATTGAGATCCTTCGGGAGGGCACCACAGGCAAAATCCTGGTTCCATTGAGACCAATGATGAGGCTATCATTGACTTCACTGGGCTTCAAGATATTGCCTTTATCTTTGTAAATGGTCTCCAGAGAAATAAGGCCTTGGACTTATATGAAGAACTGATGTTGCACTAACATACAATAAAAAGTAGGCAAATAGTATTTAGATAGAAATTTTGATGTCTGAGCTCTTGCAATGCCAGCAGTGTAACTATGAACCACCAAGAGAAAATAAAGCAGCAATTGACAGGTGTGCAGGGGTATCTGAGAATTAATATTATAAAAAGGGCTTGTATTGCACACATAAAAGTAAATTTTCAGGAGGACTCTTTTGTGGAGAAACCAGATCCAGGCTTTTACAGTTACTTTTATTTCAAATCTTTTACATTGGTTATCTTAAAGTAATGACTGATCATCAACTTCCTGGGTTTAAGAAGACAAAAACAATCTGCAGAATTAATGCCACATCTTATTACTCCTGCCTGATGGAATTACATTCCTTGTTTGCGATTGTGAAGGCCCTTTGAGATATCGTCTATCAGAGCAGTATCTCATGAAGACTATGTCATTATCCCTTACCTCTTGAACAATTATGCTATGTGGTAGAATGTGCCTTACGTAATACCTGCATTTCATTTAAGGTGTCAGGTTGCCTTTTTAAATATTTTTTGACTACTTTATATGTAGTTACTGAGAATAAGAACTTTTTTTTTTTAATTAAGAGCAGTGTTATGCTTAAGTTAGTAATAAATTTTGAAAAGCGGTAAAGACATTAAGAAATATAAGGCTTGTGGAGAACTATTGTAATTTAGGCTCATGGGTAGCCATGTGTCACTGGAAAATGGGACTTGATATTGCACATACTACACAGGTTGATTTTCATGGGTTTAATTTTTTTAAAAGTTATTTAGGAAAGAAAGATAATTTGGCAGCTCTTTAAATACTACCTAGACACAAAACACTTAAACTGGACAGTTTACATTCCATTGATTTCAATTTAGTGTCCACTTAAAGTGACAGGAGATAAAGTCTGCACCTGAGGCCCTGCAGTGAAGCAATTAAAATAAATCCCTTTGTAACCAGAGGGCAATGAAATATGTTCAGTAACAACATATGTCATAAGCCCTAACTCTAATTAACTGTTAGACTTCTCGCAGGCCACTTAAATATGTGCCAGTTATACAAAATTGATTTTTCTTTGCAAGGTTTCATACATTTATTTTGCAAAATGCAATGAATTAACTTAAATTATTTTTAGTATATTTGTGAACTACAGTGACACAAAACAGGAGTAAGCAACCATTTATTCAATTAAATCACCGTGACAGGAAGACAAATTTAGAGACTTGGTTACTTCCTGTGCAGTGATATATAGAAAGTCATCACTTTGATTTTGGCTTTTGGCATGAAACAAAGGATTTAAGGTCTGTAGGATTTACTGAGAGATACAGATACTTTACCCAATGTCCCTAACCACCACATCCCCACTGTACCTGGGTGAATCTGGAAGCAGTGCTAGAAGCAGAATTATGACATGACAAGAGGCTTCTGTTGTCTTGGGTACAAAACCTTGTCTCATTTATACAAAGTGGAAAATGTTAGAAGACATTTGAGGACATAAACCTTAGTAGGACAAAGCTTCTGTAAAGACAGTGAAGATTTTTCATGAAGACTAAACCCAAGTGTCAGCATTTTGTGCACAGTAAACAAAAGATGGGGAGGATATTCAAGCCTGAAATATTCAATATCCACATTCTAATTAGTCATATTTGAAATAGATTGTATTTGAAATACAGCCAACATTGTGTTCTGTTTTAAGGGTGCCTCACCTTAAGCTCCTACTACATAATTTAGGTGGGCAGAGAGATACCCAGAAGAACTAAGCATACAGCAATTCTGTTAGTTTAAGTGAAGTCCCTAAGGTGCTCAGGAACTTTGAAAATCTGACAGTCATACAGACGTGGATTGAATATGCTAACTTGTTGCACCCACTTTTTTGTTGTTGTTTCTTGCTTATTTAGTCCTAGCCTTTCTGTGGGAAACTTAATGTGTTCCTACAAAATGGTTACTGGCATGTATATAACGAAATGTGAATGCACAAATTCTCCTTAATCCACTCATATTTCTGCTCTGCTTGCAAAGTGTTTTTTTCTGTATGCATATGAACATTTTTCACATGTGATATTACTTCTATGCACATATTTTAGACCTGACTTGAAAACTGGCCTGTGGGAGGTCTTCTTGCTCATCTCCCTAAAATCTACAGCACATTTCTAATCTCTTTATTTCAAAGAGCATTTTTTGTAGTTAAGTAGACATTTTAAAATAATTATGTCTTGGTAGGATCCCACACTGACGATACACACTTACTTTTGATTCTGTTGTGATCAAGGTGAAGGTGCTCGAGATGAGCATTGATCGGTGGAATTTTAGTGAGCTGGTTGTGAGACAGCTGAAGATCTAGAATAGATGAAACATTAAACCCGTTTGGGGGAATACCATCATCAGATAATTTATTGTAGTTCAGCCTAAGGAAAGTCACTTTGGGTATTGCACTGAAGTAGTTTTCTGGTATCACTTCAATGGAGTTGTTGTCCAAAAATAGCTGCAGTGTGTTAGCTGGAATGCTTAAAGGCATTTTCTTGAGTGAATTTTTTGCTATGTTGAGTTGCATAAGGTTGTTGAGTCCTTGGAAGGTGTCACTTTGAAGAGCGCTGTCCAACAAACTGTTCTGGTGCAGATCTAACATCGTAAGGTTTTCCAAGTTGCTGAAGACTCCTTCTGGGATTCTGGAGATTTTGTTTCTAGCCAGTCTTAGCTGTTCCAGACCCACTGGTAATGGGGCAGGCACCTCTTCCAATTCATTATCTTCAAGGAATAAGTAAAGAAGCCTTTTCAGCTTGCTCAGCACACCACTCTCAATTCCACTGTTGGTGATCTTATTCTTGTTCAGATTTATCCATCTTAGATGAGTGGCATTCACAAAAGGCTTCTCCGAAACTGTTTCAATTAGATTGTTTTGAAGATAGAGGTACCAAATTCTTGCTGGGATTGCGGGTATTTCTTTAAGTCCTTTGTTATCACAGTATAATGCATTGGGGAAACTAGGAGGACAAAAGCACTCTCGTGGACATTCAAAAGTGTAGTGAGACCAATGCTCAGGATCCAGCTCATCATAAACTTGTCTCACAGTTCGAGTCCACACAGAATTGACCAAGAATAAGAGCAAAAGGCTTGCACAGACTTTTAGAGTCATTGTTTGCCTTGGAAGGGGAGAAAAACAATTAGCTGTCTCTCAACAGAACTCTCTAACAGCATACTAGATTAACAAAGCAGTATTACATAGAACATATTTCCTTTATATACAGCCAAATTCTGTCCTCTGTGGTATTACCACATGTTAAGGAAAAACTGAATCGTAATATAAGAGGTATAAACAATTCATGTTTAGGAAATGTTAGGGAAAAACTGAACCGTAATATAAGAGGCATAAACAATTCACTGCTATATGTTGAAGAACATTTTCCTGATTCAACTTAGACTCCACATTGGCTACCAGTTTAACTGATGTTCATGTAAGTGTCATTTCAAAGAACCTGAAAACACAGATCATTTTTCTGACATTAAATCAGTGTTTCTTATAAATTTGTTTAAGTTTTCCTGTACAGAGCTATAAACTACTTTATATAATGTTCCATCTTCAGTAAAGCTATCAATACCACGACGATATAAATACTATTGTACTCAGTGTTCCTCCTTTTAAAATTAATTATACCCTTTTTTCTGTTTTTCCTCTCTCTTAAATTATAATGGCATCTGGATCAGATTTTCCAGGGTCTTTTCTCATCACAGAAAAGTGAAAGATCAAAGAGTGTTTTAACAGCTGTTTGTTGGGCATGTTCTTAAAAAGCTTGGAGGGAATATGTTTGAGTAATCCATTCCCCTCCCTCATACGACTCTCTCGTATCCAAAGTTATGAATTTCCTTGTCTAAAGCAAACAGCCAAAACAAATGCCTGATCTAAATAACACAAAAAAGTAAGTCCTAACCAAATTATATCATATACACTCATGCATCTTGTATCTATTTTACCTACTTAATTATTTGGGGTTTTTAGCCTTTTCCCCCATTAAATGATGAACAAAATCATCAATGATAATTTACTCCAAAAGGAAATATTTGTGTAGCACAAAAACAGTGCTTCACAAACTTTGTTATCTTGCTTGCTTTCTGATGAAGATTAGCAAGCATTTTGCAATGCAGAGGCAAGAGACTGATAGCTGAAATTTCTGGTCAAAATCAGGACGTTAGTTTTGGCAAAAATAGTATTTAAATAAAAACTCAATTCTCTCATAGGGTTAATGCACCAGCAAGGTTAAGAGCTCAGTTAACTTGCTGCATATGGTATGTAGTCATTTAATAGTTTTCAACATTGTTATTAGCAGTAACAAGTGCAGTATCCTACAGATCTTCCAGCCTCAGAAACTGCTATCTGGAAGCATTCCAAAAAAGGACAAATAAAATATTTCTAAAGAATAACATCTCTAATTTACACAGTGAAATGGCACCTTCTCACTATGTAAATATTCATAACCTTAATAACATTTTTAAAAATAAATATAAAGTAATTTACCTCGTTAGTCAAGTTCCTGGAGCTATCTGAAGCCAGTTAGAAATCACAGTAAATTCACAGCCTTTGGCTGCTAACCACTGTGTTTGCTTCCTGTCTTCCTAAGAATTAATAGCATATAAAACTTGAAGTACATGCTAGTATTCCCAGATGTATGACCATACACACCTTATTAGCTATTGTTTCTCATTTGACATTGCTGCAGAGTTTGGGCTTACCTCAGCTTTCTTGGATCTTCTTCTCTTTCTATTGGTCACTGTTGTTAGACTGTAATAGCTTGAGTCAGGCTACAAGCCGTGTTCTATGAATACAGCCTAATATATACGCATCAGTGGCTACAGCTTTTAACCCCTAAAATAACTAAGGCACCTCAGCACCTAGGCAGGAAAAGACAGGAAATCCTGACTTTAATATCAAGCAGCCACAGAGCTGAAGGCATTTGATTTTTACGTTTTAGCACATGAGAGGAACTGGTCTAGATGAAGCAGGTAACACAAAATGTACCTTTATTCAAAATTTTTCTCAGAAGATACTTTACACGCAAAGCTCGCTTACATCATAATTCATTCTCATAATACCTGAACTGGCCACAAAGAATTAAAAACAGTGCCATCTGTTTCTACGGAAATATTTTATTTGATTTTTATCAAATGCAGATGCTGCCATGCCATTTAAAGTCGTAATTCTTGATTAGGAAAAGAAGATACTAAAAGCATTTGCTAAGAATGTTTTAATAACATATTTTCATTTCTTTAAAGATTAAACCATACCTTTTCCTTTTTGTTCAGAGAGGTATTTACATATATTTCTACAAATTTATCATACTTTCCAGTGCCTCCTGCAGTGAGGTCTGGTTTTAATTATTAAAGCACCAATTAATTATCTTGTTTTACCGTTGATCTAAAGTAAACTCTTTCCAGCCAACTTGCTATCCAAGGCATAGACACATATTTCTCACATTAAGTATTTTGGAGGATTTTTTATTTCTATTTTAGTCCAAACTTAAAGTAACAACTTAATATCAGGAAAACTAGCCATGTTCAAAGCCAGAACAAGGACATAAGTATTTTAAGGAAAAAGCTAATGAAAATACTGAAAACATAGACTATATCCTGCTACCTTTTATGAGTTTATATTAGGTTTAAAACTTATTTATATAATTATTTTAATTCAGTTTCATCTAATTTATTTTAACAATAAAACCTCTAATAACTTATTTCATAATGTTTAATACTTTGCTTCCTAAATGAAGAATGTCTCAAAAGAAGTTTAGAAGTAGAGAAGCAAAAAGATAAGTAATCAGAAAGAGGAAAGCAACCCTTAAGTACATGGGCAGCTTCCACTGACTTCAGCAAGGCTAATGTTAAACATATCATAAAATTTTTTTCATAACTATGTGTTTGTGCTACCTTGGTTTTTTTTTAGGAGAAAATACATCCTTACTACTAGTAATTTTTACTTGGCTTAAGTATGTGCTTAAAAATAAAACAAGTGCTTAAGTGTTTCACTCTGCTAGAACTCCAGACCCTTCAACATCTCTTAGAGATTGTTAGGGCTTTCTTGTAAGTCAGGTATAAAATTGATTCCTTCATGCATACCAAGCTGAATATTTCAAAAGTTTAAATTAGATGAAATTAATTTACATCTATACTTAAAAATAAAGGTTCTAGCTTTAAGCAGATGTAGTAATTATAAGCACAAAAATTAGATGTAAAGTATTAACCTTTTCATTATGAGTGCCACTTTAAACACCTAGGCCTTAAAAGATTTCCTTTGACCTCCTGCAGCAGACATGGTACCACACATTAATGACGAGGGGGTTTGTCAGCTGGAGTCCACGGAAGACAGGTGGGGAGAGGCAGAGGCACCGCTGTATGAAGGTTAAAATAGTTGTGTGTTCAGTTGTGAGTGATTTAAGGAGGCTTCACCATGAAAAGTGCATCTATGATTCTTGTAAAAGCCAGGCAGTGCAACGTAAAACTGGTTTGCATTTGTGCTAAATCTTCACAGAGTGTGTAGAGAGGATATGGAGGCACTGACATCTGTTCACCATTAAAGAACGAGCCGAGACCTTCATGAATGTTATACTGAAGGGTTTAAAATAGTGAGTCCTGGTGGCAGACATCTGTTGTGACACACTTAAATGCAAGTTGCCAGATGTTGCATATTCAACAAAAAAAGAAAGATTGATTTATCTTATGCTTCATGGGGGTCTGAATTTGCCCTTTAGCCTGATAATCATGTACAGGTGTTCATTATGTTATTGACAGAAGTCACTGGCAGAGGAACTTGCTGGTTACCTTGTGACAGGCAGTGGTACTATTTGTATGAACTATTGTTCAGCAAGGGAGAGGGACGTCACAATCTGCCCTTTGTGGATTTGGAGGCCAGGTATTTGATCCTTATCGAACACATAGGCTGCCATCCCATTCAAAGAAGCAGTTCTTCATGAGGAGAAGAAAACAGCAAAAATATTTGCTAGGAAGTTCTCAATAACATGAATTTTCATTTCTTCTGATGCAAACAAAGAGCAGAAAAAAATGACAGGAAATGTCCTCAAAATCAGGAAGAAAGGTTGTGATGACTGTAATATGTATTCTCACGTGCACTCAAAAATTTTGGAAAGATCTCTGCAGGAACAAGTGATTGCTTGGGTGCCCAAGCAGACTTTGAAGAAAGGCCTGCTTTCCATGAAACCTTCAAGATTACACACGTATTCTCCGTCATACATTTGTTTCGTTCAGTCCTCCATCATCTGGTGTTACTATTTATTATTTAAAGGGTGCAATATATGGTGATAAAGTTTTATAGACTAATAAAAGACCACGGCCAAGATTTTAAAAAATGACTAATGGTTTGGGAGGCTTTTTGTTTTGAGTATCCAACCTGACACACTTTTCAGGGCCTTATTTTCAGTAAGAGGGGGCTAAGAATTTTGTGTTAATGAAGTAATTTTTAACTTGTGAAGCTGAGCAATCAAAGGCAAATATCAGTGAAACACAAACTGCTCCTGAGATCATGAACAATGTCCCAAAAAGTAACAGTATGCAAGGTATTTGCATGACAATAAAAGGAAGTGGAAAAATTATTACAGTAAAAATACTGTTGGGAATATTCTAGTTTGAGGAAGAAGTCTCAAGCTATTACAGGATTTTTGCTCCATATATCTCCTGGCAATCCACTTTGTTAATCAATGTAATAAGAGAATCTGTACTAAAAAGAATCAAAAAGTGAGGAGCACCAACAACCGCAGAGGGTGGTAACATCTCCTTGAGCAGAGTCGTGTGCATGCTTGAGACTAGAACAGCCCACAAGCTTGAGAAAGACTAGAAGGGCTAAAAAGATAGACTAGAATGACCCATTGGGAGGAGGTATGGACAACTGGGAGTGCTGTAAGAGCTGTTGTTCTGTTTCAGTATCGAAGTTGCTGATGGTGAAAAAATGCATTGCTTTCTTTCAGTAATGGCTGCCATATGTCTCAGATTTAATACTAATCAAGGTCTGTTAAACATCAGGCATGTGTATAGGTCATCACCAGCAAACCCAGGAGTACACTGCAAGCAGAGCTAATTCACCAGCCCTGTGGATTCCTCCATTTAGCAAAGTCTGCAATCCAGTGCACCTAATTTGGGTAGCACTTTACTAAAATCCTAGGTGTCTTGCTCCAAAGGACAATCAGTTTATCTGAAACATGATCTTAAATTCCTTTCTTGATGACTAGAGAAAAGGTGATGCTTCAAAACCTGAAGATGATAGTAAGTGCAGTTTATGTACCCTTCACCGTATACTCTACTGGTAGCTCCAGACAGCCATGCAGACCACTTAAGAAGGCAGGTGTTTACGTTTACTCGGGGTTCAGTCTGCCTCTTTCACTTCTGAAGACTGGCATGTAGTGGTGATCTGTCTCTCTTTTTTGCATTGCTGCTTGAAATAGAGAGTAGGAAGCTCTGAGTTTTACTCCGAGTCAGAAAGACAAAACTTCTATTTCCAAACAGTTCCCTGATCACCAGACAGTGATATATCCCAATTAATAGTATCTGCTACTCCTTTTAAAAAGGAGCCACAAAAGGTTGACAAGACCAAAGAGTCTAAAATAAAGCAGATGAGTGAGCCCTCCAGGCTAGCCCAAGGGACAATGCAGACAGATCAAAGAGGCCAGCACAGATGTTCCAGACACTGCTCCTACGGACGCATTTTACTCTACATCATTCCTGGTGAAAAAACAAAATCAAAACAGATTTAGAAGCACGAACTCTATGCCTCTCCTAGAAGCCTAGAATTGCCTGCCTAGACCTCTCAGTGGGAGAAATTGCATCTCTTACTTAAACAGGCATTTCTGCGCATATGCAGGCAGTTAAAGTATAGGGAGTTTACCTGGGGAGCTTTCAGGTTAGATTAGGAGACATTGTTTAAAGGAACCCTGGAAAATAGTTAGGCTGGCTTAATTTGTGAAATGTAAATGTCACCTGACACCCTGTTTATATAGGATTTAGGAAGATGAGATCCTATTCTACAAGTCCAGAAACAAAACTCTAGCAGTTTATTTTCCGCACACCTTCACTCCCTTGTAAAAACCACAGTGAGAACTGAGTACCTCAGCTTAAAGAGATCCTTGCACAGCAACACATTTCAGAACAGAATAATTATGGAAAAGGGCTCAGCTTTTATGGGACACATAGTGCTCTCCTGAATATGCTTCATTAATGAATTTTTTGGCTGTCTGTTCCCGTTCTCTCTCTATTTTGAGCTCTTTACCACAGTGACACCATAAAGGTTCCACGACACAATGCCAAGATCTGGTATTTATCTTGGCTAGCTAGGTTTAGTTTACCTACTATGTAAATGTGGCTGTCAATCTCTTACCTTAATTTGTTTTCATGCTTTCAACAATTTCAACACTGAAGCAAATCTATCCTACCCAGGGACCTGATTTTTAAAATGCTAGATGTATAACCATATATGCTAAATGTATCTCAAATTAAATATCTAACATGCATTTATCAATTACGTACATACATTGAGTTCTTGGGCCTGCATGTGGCTATTTAGATGATTAATATTTTCCAGGCAACTAATGGTAAATTAAAACATGAATTGGTCATCTGATGCCTGTTCTGTAAATCTGCAGTTTTGAAAAGTAAACCATCATGGATTAAATATTCTAAAATAGGATAAAGATAGTGAAAACAGGCTGTGAGGTGTTAGTGTTACTTTTGTTCTCTTATTTTGTTCTGTTGTTAAAGAAATCAAAAAATATTTGAATTCATCTTCATTTTA